CACTGGCCACCCCAGTGAAATGGGGATAGGCATCTAATTACAGCTGGAATTACTGCCGCCAAGACACACAGCGAGAAGCCTGGAGGTTGCATGGATGTAGTAGTCATAGGCCCTTAGCATTGCGTCATAGGACCTCTGGTGGTTTCACAGCGGCAGTGGGAGGCCAGTGAGTATTAACCAGGCTCCAGAATGCGGCTTGCATGGCCGAGAGCCTCCAGATGTGGGAGGCAGGCTTGGCAGACACAACACCTCCACTGGACCGGAGGGTTTTAAAGGACTCCTCCGCCCGGCTTCAAGAGGGAGATCCCAGCAACGGCAGCAGCAAGGGGGAGCGAGAGCGAGGACTTCTTCAGAACATCTCCTACCAGGTAAGACTCATCAGAAGTCAGTGGATTTTCCAGAGAGGCTGTATGTTGGTGCGGGTGCCTTTCTGGCTGCAGCGCTAGACAGACTTCCCCGGATTAAATCCCCTTGTGCCAAATGGGACTTTATTTCTGAGCAGAAGGTTCTGCTGCAAGCGACTCCGCAAGGTGAGTGGAGACCGGCAAGCTGAGCAAGACGTGGTGGCCGTTCAGTCTACCGCGTCAGGCACAGTGCTTGCCTCTGCACAGCACAGGATGGAAACACGAGGGCTTGTTACACCTGCAGGTTAACCGAGCCAGGTGGCACTGTGGTGAGAGAGCCATTGAGCTCACTGGGGGACTTCGGGCCAGCCCAGCCTACCTTGTGGGGTTGTTGTGGTGAGGACGAGACCATCTTGCGAGGAGGGCAGTCCTGTGAGCTGCCTTGAGTTCCTTGCAAGTGGAAAAAGGGGAGGGTACAAGTGTGATGTGATAATAATGCTGATCGCTGGTGCTTCAATTCTTCTTAGGAGAGGAGCTGTTGCTTAGCTTTAGACCAGTGCAGGGTGACTGGGGTAAAAGTGCACAGTCCAATGCTGGGAAAAGCAGTTTCTTATGGGATGCAAATTCTGGTGACATACAGGGGCTTGCAGCTTTCCCCATTCTGGTGCCTTCTAGATGTGCTGACTACTGCTCCCACCATCTCTAATCATCATGACCCAACATTGCAACAGAGAAAGCTGCAAGATGCTGCCGTCAGCAGCAGCTAGCTGGAAAGCTCTCTTTTGCTCCTTCTTACATGCATGACATCTAAGAACATTAAGCAGACTGATTGGCAGTTTTGCAAACCTTACCTGTTAATTTAGGCACAATGATGAGCAAAAATTGATCTCCAAATCAGACAGGAAGAGGATCCAGCTTAACAGAGGGGTTAGAAATGCATCCAGCTGATCCACATGGACATGACCCGGACTTCATGAGAGAACTGGGCGTGTTCAGCCTGGAGAAGAGAAGACTGAGGGGGGATGTGATATCCCTCTATAAGTACCCCAAAGGCTGTCACAAAGAGGAAGGTCAAGCTCTCTTCTCGCTGATGCCCGCTGATACAGAATAATCAATTCAAGCTGTGACAGCCCAGATTCAGGCTGAACATCAGGAAGAGCTTCCTCACAGTCAGAGCAGTACGGCAGTGGAACCAGCTGCCCAGAGAGGTGGTGGGCTCTCCCACACTGGAGACATTCGAAAAGAAACAGGAGAGCCAGCTGGGTGGGGTGGTGTAACGTGGTGTCCTGCACCAGCAGGGGGTTGCACCCGATGGCCTTCCCGGCCCCTTCCGACTCTGCTATTCTGTGATTCACCAAAGCCAGCTCTTTCTGTGAGGAGAATGCCTCAGCACCAGTTAAGCTGCAATCAGATGTTAAAACTAGAGTTCCGGCCAATTTTCTCTCACAGGGTAAGCCCCGTTCCTCCCGCCTCCTGGCAAGACACAAGCCCTATAGGTGGTTCCCAAGTTCAGCAGACAGGCTGGAAATACATAATATAAAAGCCAGATTGCACGCTAGTAGCAGTTCAAAGACTAATTCAGCTCACTCGTCTCACCATGATTACTCGTATGTTTATTCTTTTCAATATGTGCCATCTTTTTGTTTAATTTTGAAAGTTTAATTCAAAGCAGCAGGGCTCCAGAGATGGGGGAGGGAGGGGGCAGATTCGTGACGTCGGAGACAGCAGCCAGTCTGGACTGTGTACTGCCTACTACCTTGGAAAGCACACAGAACTGGGTTACCCTTGGCATAGCCCTAGAGAGAATATTGGGTGAACAAAATACAGTGAGTATGTTTCTAGGTAAACCTGCATTCATATCCAACTTTGGTCTTGCCAGTGTTTTTAACTTATTTATTTAGAACATTTTTATCGCATCCTATACAAACCAAATTGTCTCAGTATGGCTTATAATATAAATAAACAATAAATATAAACGATCTACAACTATAATAACAAGATAAAATGCAACTGAGCATATTAATAAAACCAGATTAAAAATGTATTTAAACTTTAAAATGCTGAGTAAATAAAAAGTTTTTTTTCCAAACCCTTTTCAAGGAAACTTTCCACATTAGCCCGCCTAGATGCCTTTAGAAAAAAACCTTGAAAACAGGCGATCTGGACAATTGACTGGAAATGGAGAGATCTGTGTGGTGTAGTGGCTAAGAGCTGGGACTGGGACTCAGACGATCTGGGTTCTAGTCCCCACTCAGCCATGGAGACAACTGGGTGACTTTGGGCCAGTCACAGACTCTCAGCCCAACCTACCTCACAGGGTTGTTGTGGTGGGGATAAGATGGAGGAGGAGAATGATGTAAGCTGCCTTGAGCCCTTTGTAGGAAAAAGGCAGGATATAAATCGATAAATAAATAAATAAATAAATAAATAATAAAATGTCCCACAGTGCCTTTCTTATAGAATGTAGGAAAAACAAACCCTACAAATGGTGGCCCAGACAATTCAGTTCTTCTGTCTACCAGGAAACAGCACAGTGAATTTTGCAAGGGTCCCATGCAAACAATTACTGAAAGGTAATCCGGTTACAAGCCCAGTGCTTGGCATCACCTGGCCTTCAATAGCCACATTTCATACTATTTTCCATTGGCTATGCTGGCTGGTGATGATCGACGTTGCTGTCCGACACATCCATATATTGACAAGGATGAAATGGAATAAAGTAAAATTAGAGGTGCAGCCCTAAGCTCGTTTAGGCAGAAAAAGGCTGTCCATGCTGGGAGCTATAGACACTTTTTCTGCTGAACTTAGCATAAGGATGCACTGTAAATACATAGTGAGGCAACTTTTAAACCATTTCTGTTTCCTTCTAGTGTTTAGTGGTTCCTTCTAGTATTTACAGCTCCGTTTAAGGGACTGATATAGAACCATCCTCCATTTGAATAGATCCCCTGTCTGGGAGGCTGCTCAGCCGAAATCCCATTTAAGGGGAGCGAGGAGGGGCCTTGGAGTGGTCCATCCACAGTGAGCACCTGGACAGTAGACCAGGTAAACACACAGGACACCTGTCTCTGGGGTGCACAACCTCTTACGTCCCAAGGACTGCATGCAGTGAAGCCTCAGTAGTCAGTGCCCATGTGTGGACACAAACACTGACACACCTGAGACATCTCGATACAGAGGGGTATTTTCTCATCATAGCACTGGCAGGTAAATGGCAATATTAATTGAGATCGCTGAGGGAGAGAGTGGAGGGTGGCATAGTGGATGTGGGGAAATTCAGCAGGGGTGAGAGCAGAGAACCCCAGATTGTACACTTCCACTTCAAAGGGAAATGATACTAAAACTGTTTTTAAGAGAGTTGTGACTTTAATTGGACTGTAGCTTGTTCTGTATTTTAGATTTTGGATGGTGAATTTGTTCTCGTTATTTATTTATTTATTTATTTATTTATTTATTTATTTATTAAAACATTTTTATGCCGCCCCATTCGCCGAAGCCTCGGGGTGGCTTACAACACTTTAATCTGTGTTTTGTATATGCATTTTGGCAATTTAATAGTTTCCTTTTATTATTGAAAGTTGTCCTACACATTTGCAGAGAGAAGTGGAAATAATTGTTTCCACTTCTGTTTGCACCTCTGTTCACAATTGTTTCCACTTCAAATATATGTTGAAATAATTTTCAAGTTATTCAACAGAACCTGTGGTCTCCAATGTCAGTTTGATCATTGCAACTCATCCAAATCTAGATGGCGATGTGAGTTGTTAGGAAACTAAGAATGTGTGTGCTGTAAAAAGGTGGAGGCTTGAGTCTTCCATGATGCCCAGCAAAGTCAACGCTGCCACAGGCATAATTCCTGCGGCAGCAATCCATACCGGCCGAGATTCCCACGCTTGTGTTGCACCCGGCCACCAGAGCGTGGCAGAGGACCACTGGCAGTGCCCCCCATTCCAGCAACCTGGAGAAACCCTCTCTTGTGCAGAAATGAATTTACAACCACGCTCACCCTACTGCAGCTCAGGGCACAATCCTACGGGACTGCATGCCGCCTCTAAACTCAGAGGATTATGTATGTGTGTATAGCTTTTGTATGCTGTCCCATCGCTTATAGCCATGGGACGGCTCACATAGGGGAATCCTATACAGGGTGGGAGCAGCACCTCCACGATCCTTCTGCTCTGGAGAACAGCTGGGTAGCTGGCTGTGGCTGTGGACTGCAGAGCTCCAGAGACGGGGAAGGAGGCTGAGGATACGTTGCATCTGAGTGGCACCAGTCTCCTCCCCACCTCCTGAACCCCGTCTCTGGGGTGCTTTTCAGACCTTGAAGCAGCAGCTGACCTGGTCTTTCCCATACCAGTTGCAGAGGCTGGAGAGGGGGTCTCCGCCTCTGAGGTTGGAACGATTGCCCAGCATTGAAGATGGGCAGCCAAACACCGCTAGGGTCTTCTGTGTCTGGGGACCTCAGGATTGCTCTCAAAGCGATCCTGAAAAAATCCCTCTTAGCTACTGTTTTAATTTGCATTTTATTAGACTCTTAAATACATGCATATACATGCAGACACATACACTGGACAGCTGCTGGGCTTTGTTCTTTCCTACTCCTGCCTGTTTCTTTTTTCAAATGCAGACATCACAGAACCACCTTAAGTAGCAGGCATGGACCTCACCATGATCAAGACCATCCTACGCATCACTCTGGGTCTCTTAGCACCTTCCTTAATCAAAAAGTATGAGAAGTTGCCCTCGCTGATATTCCGGAGCATATTGTGGTGAGTGAATATCTAGTACAATAAATGGGATGATGTTCATATTTGGTCCACTACTTGGTTCTTAATGAGGGAGCAGCATCCAGGGCAAGATCAAAATCCAGGAAGGCAGCTTTGTAAAAGTGAGCAGAGAGAGATCAGCCCTGGAGGTTCTAGCCCTGGATGAGAGTTAGATCAGGGCTGACAGCCGGCACCTTCTGGCTCCCTGAAGGCCTAAGCCTCTGATCTCCCAGCTTCCTGCTTCCGTGGAGCTAGTTTCCCCCTTTGCACATTCCAAGTAACAGGCCACTCCTTTGCAAAAGCGCTTTATTCCTCAAAGTAAGCACAATCGCCACAGGATGAGTCTCTGCACATGTTCAGAGCAGCTCGTTGAATCCAAACTAGAAATGACTTCCAAGAACCCTCTTTTTGAGTACCCCGGGGTGTCACCCCAATGCAGGGGTAGCCCTTTTGGAGGTGGGTGAGTGTCTCTCTGTATGCCACCCCTCCAGCTGGCCAGCCCTTGTCTCCTGACACTGTGCCATGGGATCAAGAGTTGCACCAGGCTCGGCTGACCCCTGCAGCTCCTTTCCCACCTCCCTTCCCTGCAGTTGTAGATCCTGGCTCAAAGTCGGCCTCCACACCTGGAGAGGGTGGCCTCGAGAGAAAATCCTCCATTTCCTCCATCTTGATGTCTGAGGCTGCCGGTTCCCAGGGCCCTTCTTCTTCCTCCTCTGAGTCTGAAACTGCCTGACCTTGAAATGTATGCCAGGAGCAACCACCCCTTCCATTCCCAACATAAGTGAGGCAAGAAGCAGATGCGGTGCAGCGAGTAGGGTGGAACAAGAGGGCGAGAAGGGAGGTGCCGGGGGAAGGAGAACAAGAACGAAAGGAAGTGGGGCGAGAAAAGTGAGAATTCTGGAAGGGGGTCAAGAAAAGGGGAGAGCTTGAAAATAATTGTGCATGGGCAGAAATAGCCATGGGACAAATGTGCCCACTCTCAGCAGCAGCAGCAGCACCACCACCAGGCATCCTTGGCCCTGGTTGCATTAATGTTGCCGCCCCTGATCGAGATGGAAGACCCTCCCGTGCGTAATCACCAGGGCGGAAGCTCTGCCACCTCCAATACGGCTCACTTCTGGCTGCACAGGCTCACAGGGCAACCACTTGAGTTTAAATGCAGCCTTTCACTGTCAAGCAGAAATGCAAACAACATTGAGGGTTACTTTTCGGACAGCGTGTGTGAAGTAGGAACTGTGTCAAAAAATGGGAAGCTGAATATGTGCAGCTTCTGTTCCAGCTTCCTCTATGCCAGCCTTCTCCAGCCTGGAGCCCTCCAGCCATTATGGACTGAAATTCCCAGCACTTCTGGCAACTAGTCATGCTGGCTAGGGCTGATGGGAATTCGCACCCAGAGCATTTGCAGGGCATCAGGCTGGGGAAAGGTGCCTATGAATAGTAAACATGAAGGTCTCAGAAAAGATCTTCATCAGCCCACCTGCTTGCCGGAGCAGTGAGGGTCCTCTGGCAGGCGGCATTTTTGTTCCCACTCTGCCACACTGCCCTGCATTCCCTTCTCCACTGGCCGAGGCTCCACAGAAGGAAGCAGCCCAGCCGGCCCTGGAAGGCCCTCCCTATGGAAAGCTTCCTTCCGGCACACAACCAACCAACTGGCCTGCTCACCACGCTTCTCTCCATACGTCTAGGTTCAAGCGTCAGAAGCGAGGTGTGAAAGTGAAGCACATCGATCACGAGGGATACAGATTCACCTACTTCTCCCGAGGAGAGCCAGGAGCCCAGCCATCCATCCTGATGCTGCACGGGTTTTCACTCAACAAAGACATTTGGCTAAATATGATCAAAGTAGGTTTCTATCGGGGGTAAAAAAGGAGAATCCGCCATGCTCGTGTGCTGTCCTCCTCCTTTCAAGCGGCCTGGCACCCGCAGTGCAGCATCTCCAGTGCAGCGTGCCCCGAAGGCCCCCCTCCCGCGGTGCCTGCAGCTGCCCCCTCTCTCGTGCCGCTGGGCCTGACGGGAGCTAAAGGCTAAACGGAGCAAATGAGCTCCACCCCCACTCTAGGTGTGCTAATGACGTCTTTGCTGAACGGAGCTACTCCTGGTATTTTTGAGGGGTAAAATTTAAAATAGAATGGAAAATAGTTAGCGGGTTCCTTTGAAACACACATCTTCACATTGTGATACCTGCCCAAACAGTTTACTGAACTGTGCTGTTGGCAGGAACCACTCCAAGTAGAGAAGGCGAGTGACGACGGGGAAGAAACACGAAAGTGTTTGATCCTAACCTGAGACCTGCTTGGGTCACTTGCCCCGTGGATCTAGGCAAGCTCACTCGTGCTTCATCACTGCCGACTCCAGGATGTTTTCTCCAGAGTCAGCCACAGAAGTCATTAGCCACTCCACCCTTTGAAGATACAGAAACCCGGTTGTTGCTCTTCAGATTCCTCAGCGCAATTCCTCCCGCCATCTTTTCACAGCTCTTCCCCCAGGACCTGCACGTGGTCTGCCTTGACATGCCCGGCCATGGAGACACCACCCGCTTGCTGGGAGAAAGTTACACAGTGGCTGCTCAGGCTAAAAGGGTCCACCAGGTAAGCCCCGCTTTAAGCCGCCCACAGCAGCGTTGCACGTTGGGAGCTGACAGGCAGCGGCAAAGCGGGGCGCACCATTCTGTGGCTAACCTCACGTCGCCCATGAACAGCACGGCCACTCAGAAATGTTTTCCCCCAACCAGAGAGTCTGGCCTGCTAGTCCCTACACTGCTCTCTTGGCTCATTCTCTACGGTGTGACTTTCAGATAATCCTAATAGGTTGGATGTTATGGTTGCTTGTGCGGATACAACTGCCTGTATTCTTGGACTCCCTGGTGAAGTGTGGTGGGGGGGTGTCTGTGGATAGGTCCTAAATATGGGGGCTTGAATGAGCCCATTAAAGCCCCTCATCAGCTGCCCGACAGTGGTTAAGGGTGACACAGCTGCCGGCAGCTGAGGGGCTCTGGTAAGAGACCCTCCCTCCTGGAGCCCCATCAAAGAATATTGTTGTGTTCATGACTGATTGCTGCAACCGAGGAGAATGAGCTGTTAACAGGAAGGGGGATTAAAAGTGTTTGAAGGACCAGCTTAAAGCTGCTCATTCAAGAAGGCATTCCTCTCAACACTATCCCCCCCCCCCCCCCGCCCCAAATGCTACTTTGGTTCCCCTTTCTTGAACTCCTGCTCCTGGTGCAATTATTGTTGGCTTTGTTTTATGCTGAGTTTGATATCTGAACTCTTTTTTGAGGGACTCCCCTCAAAAAGTGGGATGCAGAATTTAAACATATAGCAAATGGAAACACTGAAGAACAGAGGTACCAGTGTAGAAGCCTTCCAACTGGAAATATCCTGTCACTTCCCTTCAATTATATTCTGTATTGCCCCAAAAGCAGAGCTCTCTGGGCAGATCATGGCAATTCAAACTGTAAAGTAAGGCGTCACAGCAATATGAAGATTTAAAATGCAGCACTGCAGTTAAAACAGACTCTGAAAGGTGAGGCTGCAGGTCAGTGCCTGGCCCAAAGTCCTCCACTGAGCCCACGGCGGCCAAGCAGAGACCAGAACCCAGGTCAGCAGAGTCCCACCCTAGCCATTATGGTACGCTGGCTCGTTGCCTGAATATGCAAATGCTATGCAGATTTATTTTGCTGCCTGGTCCATTCCCTCTTTGGGGAGATCCATCAGCGGCCATCCTAAGAGGTGCTTGTGGGATTTTCTGGCTCAGGGGCTACATAATGTGGCCAACGGTGAGCACCATGCATCTCACCCCGGGGAGGCGCCCCATGGGGAGCTCTTTCCTGCCGTGCAGCCACAGGCCTTCAGCTGGTCGTGCCTCTGCACAATCTGCTTTGGCCCACTTCCAGAGTGCGTTTGCAGAGCGGGCGCAGGTCGCACGCACTGCGGTACCTCCACTGGCGTGGTGGTTGCACAGGGAAGCCTGCGAAGGGAAAACCAAGACGCTACTGGTGTCCGGCCACAATGACCCGCTGGGAACATGGCCCAGCCGAGAGAAAATACGACCTGGGAGGAGGACGTGGGGCGGATCATGAGGCTTTCCCTCCCTTTGTCTCCCCTGCCACGAGGTAGCCTGGGCCACCCTTCGTTCATGCTTCTTATTTCAGTTTGTCCAGTGCCTCGAGCTGAACAAGAAGCCTTTCCACCTGGTCGGGATGTCCACGGGCGGGATGATTGCTGGCGTGTATGCAGCTCACTACCCCTCGGAGGTGTGCTGCTTGTCCCTCCTCTGTCCAGCTGGTGAGTGCCGACATGCAGTGGTTCCAAGGCGATTCTTCAGGACACAGCGATGGGCACAGGGGTGCGGACAAGCAGGAGCAGAGAGGATGGCGCTTGCACTGCCATGCTAGGGCACTAATCCAAGGGGCTGCTTGCGACCTGAGAACCTTTTGGCCAGGCTCTAACCCTGCCGCTCCAACCATGGTGCCCCCTCCTGCCCTTCCCTCAGGTTGTGGCTCCCCGGCCCTCTTCCTTCTTCAGTCTAACATTTCACCTTCCCATCGCATCTGGATCCAGCCTTTCCTTGACCCCAGGAAACTGCATGGAATGGCAGGATGCAGCCCACTCTGTGTATCTGATGAAGAGGGTCTAGCCCATGAAAATTCACCCTATAACAAATGAGTCATCTTTTAAGGGCTTATTGCACTCAGGCTATTATTACCCAGCACACACCAGGTCATTAACGAAGAGGCAGAGGTGGGGCACCCCAGAAGGCCACAGTGGACGAACAGAGCAGTGCCTCTGGATCAGACTACATGATCCAGGTCCAGCCCATTGTTGAAATGCTCCTTACCTGGGGCTGCCCTGAAGAGGGTTTCAAAATAGAAGTGAGTCTGGGGCTGCTTATTTAATGGTGATGGAAACGTTGCATTCTCTCCCAAATTTTAGGTCTGAAGTATCCGACAGAAAGTGAGTTCTTTGCACGCTTAAGAGAAATAGTTTATTCTAAGGACCCTGCTGATGGCACTCTTCTTCCAGTGAATGAAGAGCAGGGAGAAAACTTACTCAAGCTTTGCTTGGCTCGTCCCACCACTGTAAACATGCAGGTGAAGTATGGTCCAAATTGCCACAGGGATGTCTCACATCCCTGCATTCTCCCTCCTGAGTGCCCCCTTCTCTCTCTCTCCCCTGAGCCACTTTGCTGGCCCTGCACAGGCTAAAATCTGAAGGGACGGTTCAGTCACTTTTCCAGATGCACATTTGCACTGGATAGTCTGAAGCTTTTTTCCTTCAGCTTAGAAGGCCCCCAGAGAGTTGCAAGCAATCCATAAGCCCAAAGAGCTCCTGTTCACATCTGAAAGCTGTGCCTCAGAAGGGAAAAGGATGTGGAGGGAGGGAGGGAGGGAGGGAGGGGAGCAAGCAAATAAAGCCACTCATTTTTAGTTTATTCTTATAATGACCAGCTAGAATTTATTTCATTGATTTATTTATAATTGCATTTATATTCCGTATTACCCAATAGTCCAGGAAGACTCTCTGGATGGAATTGCGATAGTTCAGGGTGATGGAGTTCAGTTTCAAATAAAGGTGGTCCTTCAACAGGTCCGATGAAACGGCCCCATTTCCTGGCGTCCTCTGACTCACGGAATGCCTCGTGCACGGTCAGACTCTGGGTCCATGTAACTCAATATGGCCTTCCCAGACAGGCCGTCTCCTGCCAGATCTTCAGCAAGGGATCTTCCCCGGCACTGCCCAGGGATGGAACCTGTGCATAGGAAGCACGTACTCTCTAGAGAGCTACCACCACCCCCTATACCACCCTTCAACAGAGGCATTGCATAAGAAGAAACCACTGCTTGAGACAGTAATCATGCCACTCCCAGGATCTGCAGCTACTGCCCCAGTGCTGAGCCTCCTTTCAGTTCTGTTAGCAGAACTAAATTGCAAGAAAAGAGCCAAAGAGAAAGGAAGGACAGCGATGGCCAGTGTTTCATGGCCTGGCAGCAGATGGCCAAGAATGAACGCAGGAGAACAGGGATGCACAATGACCGGCATAGGCCCCCTACCCGACAGCCATTTCACAAGTTCATAGCTAAGATTCCTATTGGATGATAAAATCACAAGCACAGATCGGAAGTGAAATTAATTTATTTGTTCTAATTTCTATAACAGTAGTTTATAACTATATTTTATTAGTTTCCTGTATAGGAGCACTTCTCAGGTATTTACAGAGTGGGGGAAATGCAGTGCTGTATGTGAAAGCAAAGCAAAATGCATTCTCCCAGCCATGTAGTTGCATTACTCTGCTATGCCACAGCACCACCTAGAGGTTACACAGTGGAAAAGCAAAAGCTCTTCACTTGGCACTCAGGTCTCTGGTTTGTGAGAAACTCAGAGACAGCAGATTAACAGCATTATGTGGAAAAGCTCTTGGTCTAGGAAAGGCATTGCTGGGGATTATGGTAAGCCACTCTGTACTGCCTGCAGAAAGGAACGCCTGCACACTGTTGCAGGACAGGAGCCTAAGCCCGCCTTTCTGTACCTCTGACTCATATGTTGTCGTTTTCCCCCGTAGCGCCTAAAGGGGTATCTTGATGATCAGAGACCACATAAGATGTTTTTTATAACATGTAAGTACAAGAACCAATGCAGAACATCCATCTCCAGCTCTCTAACAAGGAAACTTTTATTGCTTTCCCTTATTACAGTTGTAGGGGCACAACTGAAGAAAGAAAAGACGATGGGCCGAAGAGCCTTGAAAGGAGCTCATACCAGAGAAATGCATGACCATTTCTCAACACACGTACTTTAAGAGGCTGTCAAAATGATCCTCAGGCACTTACATACTGGATAGAGCCTGATGATCAGGCTGCCAAATTTCCCCACTGCGACCATCATATTGAACTAGGCTGCAAAATGCAGGTCTTATCACACAGGTTGGAGGCACATCTGTCAGGGTCAAAGCAGAGGCAAAGCAGGAGATCCATGATCAGGATCTCCATCATGGCCACAGCACTGGGGAAGAGAGTTTTATCTTAAATTGTGCGCGGGTTAAGTTTTCCTCATGGGCACAGAGTTCTCTCAGCAGGAACCCTGTCAAGTAGGTTAGGCTGAGAGTCTGGGACTAGGCTTCTCTGGACCTCCTGGGTCCCAGTCCAGCACTGGGACTGGGACCACTACATCATTTAGTCGTCTGGGGTGGAAATCCACTGACGGTTAGTCACTGCGCTGGCAGTGAATTCTGAAGTGCAAGTGCTCATCGTGAGCATCTCCATTCCACACACCCCAAGCAGAGTCTGAACATACTGGCAGCTGAGGTGCTCCATGTCAGCTAAACAGTTTCATCTCCACAAAGGCGAGGCCTTTCATACATCTTGATTTCCCATTCCAGAGCAAGCCACTTGTCGCATTACAACAGAATGTATTATTACACTGGGAAAATCCGTTCTCCCCACCCCAGTGCCTCTGAGGATTGTGGCTAAGCTCAGAGGGATGAGGGACCTAGGGCAGGGGAGCAGGGCCATCGACATCCTTGCCAAAAAGGCCAGTACCTCCCCATGAGCCCCAAGTTCACTATACCAATGGCTGCTCATATTTAAGGTGCCACAATGCCTTGTTGTTGCTTTGGTCCTAACTCGGGTTTCCTTATTCTGAAAGGTTTCTTAGATATCTCAAGTGCCAAGTCCAGGTTCATTCTCCATGAAAACATGAGGAGGATCAGAGCCCCAACACAGATCATTTGGGGAAGAGAGGACAAGGTAAGCTCCAGGGCTGAATTCTAGTTCAGAGGCACTGCCAAGAGCCAGGTCAAGTAGGTGGGTAGGCCTGAAGGTAAAAGGAATTGGGCCAAAAAATAGACAGACAAAAAGGCGCTCGCATGTTCAGCATATAGGTTTTACTGGTGGTAACTCAGCCTCAAAAGAATTTCAGCCTTTTATAAAGCCATCCTATCAACTGATTGGGGGCTGAGAGGAAAAGACGGAGTCTGCCTGAGGGGCCCCAGGGCAGTGGGGCCCCAGGCAAGTCAATCGGAGCCAAGGGCCTGAGGCTCAACACTCTTGCTTTAGAGCTCCAGAATACCAAAAGGGGAAGGAAAGAGGGTTTCATTCTTTCTCAGATGGTGAGGAGCCCCAAAACAGGGCTGCAGGGGATCAAACAGTTGGACAAGCTCCTGTGGAGGGGGAGGTGGCTACTGAGCACTTCCAGTCAAGACTGTGTGCCTGAACATACAAACATTTGCAGGTGCAGCTTAGGGAAGCTAAGTTTGGCAGGGTGGTTCTTAGACAAATGCAGCAGACATTCCTTCATCCTTGTGTTAATTGCATGGAAGCCTTTTCTCTTTTCCAATTCCATCAGCCTCTTCCCTAATTTCTCTACATCTTTAAAAAATGTAGACACCAAGAAAAATCATTAATTCTTTACCATTCAGGTCTTTGATTCTACTGGTGCAGAAATGTTAGCCACTGCCATTCACAACTCCCAAGTGCATATGCTGGAGAAATGTGGACACTTCATAGCGCTAGAGAGGCCCATGAAGACCGCAAAGCTTCTCTTGGAGTTTTACAGTTCTGTTTGTGAGCGCATGGGGGACAAGCAGCCAGCACAAAGCTCACCGAGAAGCCAGGCAGCTGCAGAGTGATGGAGAAGACGTCATGGATGTTTGCCCTGTTACAAGTCCTTGTTTTTTTTTTTAATGATGGCTCTGCCCCACCTTCATACCCCAGATTTAATTAATTTGCTTTTTCATTTTTTTAACTGTTCAGCCTGACTGATTTCCTTCTCCATATTTTGACCTGAAATGAGGCTGGGCAGGTAAAATGATCTACAGGTGCAATATTAAGAAAATATTAACTAGTGGATAGTGAATAGATTTTTTAAACCATGATAACAGAAGCTTTGTGGAACATGGCTGGCAGCACAATCCTACCCAGAAGCAAGCCTGAATGTACTTAATAGGCCCTACTCCCTGGGGTGAGAGAGATGTACCACAAGACTCATTCGAGTTAAGCAATATTCTAACACAGCCTCCGATTTAAAAATGGAGCTTAGGAATTTTATGGAAGAGGTTCTGTGATTAATCTTTCTCAGTTGCCTACTATTTCCCTACTATTTCTTCCAGAAGAAAATAAAATGGCTTTTACTTCTGATCTTGGCTCCTCTGTATTGCAAATATATAAACTTGTCAAAAATGTTTCCAGTACCTAGCATATATTCCAATGCATCCAGGGATATCCAACAGGAATGGACAGGTGGGGAAGGAGTTTTGATGACCGACTGTCACTGCAACAGTTTTAGAAATGAGAAAGACAGGACTGCTTACCTTTAATGATCCTTCAGAGCATTTTAAAGGCAAAACAGTATTTTATTTGAAGCTATTTCTGAGACACAGCATGGGGGCTATGCCAGAAAGATGAGTCTTTGCTTGCGATATCAACTTTGTCAACCAACTCATTTTCTTCTCATAAAATATTTTAATAACTAATTAAATAAAAACATTCTAACATTTATCTATGTTTCTTCGTCTAAAACTCTGAATCGTCTCTCGCCTTGATTGACCTCACAGCATTACAGGCCTCTCATTTCTAACCAAAACTGAGCTGCCAAAAGTTCTTCACCCCTCAGTGCTCGAAGCCTGTGGCTGCAAATATTTACACAAGCCCCCATGCCATAAGGGATTCAAGGAAGTTGGTGAGACAGTGTTTTCCTGTACAATCATCATGCTAGTTATCTTGTAATTTACAGTTCAGTGTTAATGAATCAAACTCACTAGCTGAAAACACTCCCCAGAACAGAGTTTGCTGCATACAATTGTAGATAATGGTGTGACCAAACTGAGGCTCAGGAGCTGCATGCAGCTCCTTTGAGTCTATTTTGCAGCTCTCGGCTTGCTGCTGGTCACTCATGGCTGCCACCCACCGGTGCCCACTTGTGGCTCTCAAATATGACTTTTATGGCACGTGGCTCTTCTGTTGAGCAAGTCTGGCCACCCCGGTGTACACTTCCCCAGTGTAATTCTAGAGCTTTGATTCTTTGAAGAGCTGATTGGCAGGACAACTGGAAGTACTACTTTATGCAGAAACAGCTAACAGAATATGCAACCACAAGGTGTAGCTATAAGGATACCTAAATGGAAAAGCCATGTGCAGAAACTATTGGTGATGGCCACCAATTTGGACTACTGTAAGGGGATTAGACAAATGCCTGGAGATTATCAGCCTTGCTGGCTGAGTGCTACCTTCGTTCTCAGAGGCAACGTGCCTGCGTATACCAGTCGCTGTGGAGCAGGGCAGGTAGAACTCTTGCACCCATCCTGCTCAGGCGAACCTGTGGACCACTGGCTTGCCACTGTGTTATCTGGGTGATCGTTTGGATGGGCCACTGGTCTGATGCAGCTTGGCTTTTATTTTCGTATGTTCTAAAACAGACATTCTGAGTATCAGATGATTAGAAAACTAGGGCGTGCTTAACTACCCTCACGTTTTCCTTTTATACTGAGCAATGTTGGGAAAGGGATGCTGGAGCAGTTTACCCTGGTCCACTCCCACCCTCTGTGACACCAAGCAATGGAAGTTTTTCTCTGACTGTGCTCCGCAGCAAATGCACAGAACCCACAGAGAAGATTGTTTTCGTCTTTTAAAAGTTCTTATCCTTGCGATTGTGAAAATGTATTTGAAAGCAATGTCTATCAAAACACCACATGTCAATCGCATAGCTAAATGATTTGGAAGTAAAATTTGTATCAACCTCCTCTTCCCACAGATGCCATGATCCCATCATACAATCTAATGAGTCAAAAACATGGCAGTAATATTATGTGAGTATATAGGTGAGATTGGGCATGAGACGGGGAGGAAAAGAAAATGAACCAATTAGGGACAGATTTGGAACCTGCAAATTAGCACCAGCTGCCACCCCCCCCCCCCCCCCCCAATCTTGCAGCTCTTGAGAGCACATGATCCAGAGAGAAGCAGACATCTGGCTGGCTGGAACAGAGAATGTGTCTGAATGTCTCTGAAGAACACGCCTTCCTGGGTGCTAACACTGCCTCTAACGGGCTCAGACCATCGTGCATCAGCACAGGGATATTTGCAAGCATGATCCAAAATTTGGCTTCAGTTTTGCCCCCAGGCCTCCAAAAAAAGCAATAAGGTTGCAGCCCAGGCCAGGGGTCCTAGTAGATTCTGAGAAAAGAAACTTTTCTCCATTTCCCCCATGCAAAGTAAGGGCCAGACCATGGGCGGCAGCAGGGAAGGGTAGAATGCCGGGTCCCGGGTGCAAGCTCAAGCAGATTCTAGAGCTTACTATGGTCTAGAGGCAAATCAGCAGGTTCATGTCAAAGGCACAGAAGAGAGCAGTCCAGTTTTGCATGCAGAGAGGGGGCAGCGGCAGGGGAATGAGGCAGGGTCTATCCAGAGGAAAGAGGAAGAGCAGAAAAGGCCATGGGCTGGAGCGAGGCAGAAACAAACTGGAACAAGGCAGGTACATACTGCAGCGGGGCTTGAACAAGGCAGGAACAAACTGGAACCAGGTGCAGTGATCCAGGCAGGAACAAAGGGGAACAAAGCACAGCAGTGCAGGGGCCAGAGCACAAGGGGACACCAGGAAAACTAGCATTGCTGTGGCAGGAGCAGCAGTGCAGGGAAGACCTGCAGGGTCCCCAGCTGCACTGCGCGATTGCTGCCCAGGTGCTTCCTGCAAGTGCCCCCAAAGGTGCTCCTGGCTCTGTGAGCACTCGCAAGGCCACTCGGGCCCTGATCCTGACATTCATGCCCAGCAGAGCTCCACCTCCCTCCCTTGCCTGGCAAACCAGAAATGTGCAATATGAGGACATGCAAGTCTGCTTAGCTTGCAAAGTACGCACTGGTCTCAGAACCGGGATTTCAAGGCATGGCATTTAATTGCCTACCTCGGAGTGAAGTTCCTTTTCTATTTAAAAGTATGGGAGACACACAGATTTGCCATCAAGTTCTTCATATTCCAGCATTCTCGGCAATGTGCTTCCCATAGATACAAAGGGCCTCTGGACATTTTTCCAGGTATCCACATTAACAGATTTTCTTAATGGCAACTGAGTTGGCAATGAAATAGGTTTCTGTTGGTACTGAAAACAATGAACACGCTCAGTCTCCACTTCTACCTTGTATTCAGCCCTTCTCCTTTCCCGCATCTCCCATGGCAGCCATTCTGTAGTTGCACCCAGGAGCTTCTCAAATTGTGAAATGTGCCTAACACTGCTGAATGTATAAGCTATAAATTCATGCACGGCATTCAGCCATCTCAAATAGGTGCTCACTAAAATGGAGTAACAGGGCATCTAACACAGTAAAGTGCCTTTTCTCTGTTCTATTCGAAGAAATTTACAGTACAGAATCTGCCACTCTTAATCTCACATATCCGACTTGCTGAAGACCTTGGTCCCAACTTGTTTTCCAAAGGGATGTTTCCAAATGGTCTAGAAATACAGTTCAAGGGTCAAGCATGACTTCAAAGAAATTAAGGCAAGGACTGCATTAGTGTAATGAAAAACCAAAAGGTCACTGCTCTACAGGCAAAAGCACTCCATCAATATTATATCCTTTCCATTCAGCTCTGTTTTGCTTTATCATTGCAACAATAATCCTTAGAGCCTTAATCATTTCCCCCGGTATAAAAGCAGCTGCAATGGCAAACTTTGGAAGATGTTACTGATGGGATGCAAGGAGCCTGGTACGGCCATGGGATGTGGGGCTTCCAGTGACCCAGGTATGGTGGGGCCGGGCGCAGGAGAGAGGAGTTTGTGCCAGCATATAGCAAGCAGAAGAATATCTCATAGTACGAAAGCAATACAAAAGCACAGACTTGGCAAGGCATTTATGGTACCATGAGGTAGTGAAGAGGTAGAACCAATTAAAATTCACAAAAACTAAGCAATTTGCCTTGGTTTATTTGAGATCAGGGGTGACACTTGTACTTCAGGCATCATTTGGTGTGGAAAAGCTTTCAATATTTATTACTATGGTTCTTTTCTTCTCTTCCAAAGAGCTTGCATTCATATTGTATAAAATTTACTTTCTAGGACCTCCAGAATATGAAGACAGGTGAGTTAACAAGGGGAAAAAAAGCTTCACCAATGATTTGCTTGGGTCTTATTTAAATCTACAGAAATATACATATTAATAAAATCACATCAAAAGACATATGTATCATAGCAAACGCAATCTTTTTAAGCCATTTCCCCCCACTGCTCAATAGATAGGAAGGAATAATGCATGAAGTTTGTGCAAGAACTTTAAAACTTTTTTAAAAAATATGATAATCAGTGGCACATTTTATCTGATATGACGTTTTTGAACCCATTTAACTGACTAATCATTGAAGCCATTGGGGGAAATATGTATTTATGATGGAAAGGTTATGTTACTGTTAAACATCATTGCCTGTGACTCATTCTAGTTTTCTCTTTTGGATCAGGACAGAGAGTGAAAGCAGGTAAGATTCTTGAAATCTCTGATATGCTCTACAAAATGCCAATGATCTAATGCATGTATTTTATTTGGGATGCAATCCTGCGCCTGGTCAGATGGAAAAAGGCTTGCAGGCTCTGAATACATACACAAAGCAATGCATGCTTCTAGGATTCCTTCCGTGGCCTTCTGTCAAGAAAAGTGGCTTACAATCATAAAGCGAACTTGATTAAAGCAACAATGGGATTAAAACACAAGTAAGAATGCAGTAAGAACAGAATGAGCTGAATGTTCTTTTGTGCCACTGTGTATCAATGTTTTAGGGATCTTCCAGTTTCAGGTTGGTGTTTAATGGCCATCAAAAGTCTTCCTTTTTTGGTGCACCTATAGTGCTACGGAAACTATTCGATCAATTGCACTGCTTTTAATATATATTTTTTATTTAATGTTGTGTATTATAATTTTACCCTGTTCTATTTTATTCTGATTTTAAATTGTATGGGTTTTATTTAATGCTATTATTGTAATGGCCACCCAGAGAGTTTGGCTTTTAAATAAATTCAATAAAATAAATAAATCACCACACTAAAATAGGAGTACATGCACACAGGTATTCCTCATAGACCTCACCTTCGTTTAGACTTACAGAAGAAGTAGTGCAAGGAAGGTGGTATCCCTCTGATTCTAAAATTGGCTTTGCTCATGTGCAGCAAAACATCTGGAGGATGTTTTGTACACAAAAACATCTGGAGGACCACAAGTCTTCCACCTTTGGCACAAAGGGACCAAACTAGTACTGCAAGTTGAGATTAGTCATCACAAAGCTTTTGGTTCTTCTTACTCCTCCCTTCCCCCCAAATGAAATTGGCTGCTAAATATAAATGGCAAGTGAATACTAGAAGAATTAGAAGTCTCTCTCTCGACAGGTTGGTCACCACCTACAGGGTTATGAGGACTCACCTTCTACCTGAAATTCATTAATGCACCCCAAGGCTGATTAGTCAATTGCTCCTTGCTGGGGGTTAAAGACATATCTGATTCAGTTTGCCTGGATACAGCCTGTGTTACACTGCTGCAATCATGCTGGGTTCCTGTTTATTAGACTAACGTTTGTTGTGTTTTTTAATTACTACCATGCATGAATTGTCTAGGCCACCAACGGAGAGCACTTACATTGGGCAAGGATCAGAGGCAGACATTCAAGAGGCAGTCAATAGGTTAGTATCCACAGCCCTTGTGTATCAACCAACCATACTTCTGCTCCTACGTATTATCTTCAGAGTTACATTGTGCACCATTACTTGATTTCTTCTGGTTTTCTGTGAAGAGGACCTGGCTAACGTAAGGCTTGAATCTGTGGAGGGTATCTGATGGAGAGGCATCAGGGGAGACCTGGCAATCCAAGGCCAGATGCAATGGGAGCTATTTCAGGGAGCTGCCGAATAGAACGTGGCACCCAAAAGGTTGCATGTGAATCCAACTCAGGGCTGCTTTATCACTAGGCTGGGCAGGGGGGAATGAGGAAGTCTCTCCTATATAGCCTGCATGTCAGTATGGTCAGCGCTTGGCTTTTCTGGAGCTAAAATTAACTTTGATCATTCTGTTTTAAAAGAATGTGTTACCAAGCCAGTTAATATTATGTGTTGATTATGACCTACAAAGCCCTAAACGGCTTGGGTCCTGGCTACCTGAACGAGCGCTTACGTCCGTATATGCCTGACCGCCCTTTGAGATCTGCGGGAGAGTCCCTTCTCCGGGAACCCTCCATGAAAGAAATTAGGAGAGT